CCCCCCCCCCGCTCGCTGCCCCCCCCAGCCCCCACCCTACACTGCCGTCACCCCTGCCCCCGGCAGCCAACCCCGCTCCCTGCAAGAAGAGTCCCTTCGCCCCCTCAGCTGGCGTTACCGTACCTGGTGTGCGCTAGAGACGCCACGTCGTTCACATCGAACACAATCACTATCGCTGGGGGGAGAGCGAGAGGAGGTGAGAGACGGGGGGGCTGGGGGGACCCAACACAGGGCTGAGAGGGACCCCACAAACCCTGTGTGCTTGTTATCGAGAGCACCAGCCTGTGCTTGGCGTAGGGCCGATAGTTCGCACTGGGCCTGCAGGGGCCAGATTGTTATGGAAGGGCCACGTGTTTGTTATGGTAGGGTTGCCGGCAGGGCGGTGTGTTTGTGATTTTAGGGTTTATTGCAGCAGGCTGCTCATTAGGACTGGGGTACAAGCCCCTGGCTCTTGGCGCCCCGCACACTCCTGGACCCTGGCCCTCACCTTGTGCTCCGCGGTAGTAGGTGGATGCGATGCACTTGAACCTCTCCTGGCCGGCCGTGTCCCACCTGGGGAGAGGGGCAGCGGGTTAGCTGTGGCTGTGACGGGAGGGCCGAGAGGCTGGGCTGAGCCGGTACTCACAGCTGTAAGCTGAAGGGGACGCCAAGCACCTCAAAGCGCTCCATCTCGAAGTCCACCCCGATGGTCGCCTTGTAGTTCTTATCGAATGTGTCCTTGCAGAACCTGCGGGGGAGACCCAGCCAGTGGAGCTGGGGGGTCAGCATACAAAGGGCCGGCCCCCTGGGGCTTCCTGCCAGGGAGCCAGGGACCCACCACTGAAATGCAACCCCCTCTTGGGTGGGACACAGCAGCTGGGTACCAGCTGATCCCCAGTGAGATACCACTGGGAGAGGAAGTGAAGGAACAGTCTGTGTCTAGCTAAATGCCAAGGGAGGACTCAGGGAGCCAGTGTCCTAAGCAGCCCACGATGGGGTATTAGTTCTGTACTGACAGGGGAAAACTGCTCAACTGACTCACCTGGATTCTCCTGGGACATCTCCCATCCAAGCAATAAACAGGCCGAGCTCTACGGAGCTGACAAGCCCAGAGCCTCAGGGGGCCAGACCCTGAGCTGCTCTAGGACAAGTCGACACGTTCCCAGGCAAACCTCCCCGAAAAGCCCCCCTAAAGCAGCGCCAGAAGCAAATGGGAAGTGGGGACACCCCATAGCACCGACTCGGGGGCTGGGGAGCCAGCCTGGGGATCAGGGGTGTCTGGAACAGTCTAGGCCACTGGGTGACTCCCCATAGCCCCGGAGAGCAGGTACCGCGACTCCTGTGTGTCTGCGCAGTGCCCTGCACAGTGGGGCCTGGCCCTGAGATAATAAATGACACTTCCCCCCTCCCAGAGAGGGGCCTTTCCCCCTTCCCGGGGCCCTGGCAGCGCAGTCCCGCCCACCCCCAGGCAGCCCCACCTACCGGTTGATTAAGCAGGTCTTGCCCACTGACAGGTCTCCCACCACGATGATCTTGGAGATCTTAAACCTGCTGGGGAGAGCCGGGCACGTCGTTGTCAGCTGTAAGCTCCCGTCCCCCACCCAGGATGGGCAGTGCCAGCTCCCACAGCTGGTGGCCGGGCCAGCAGCCTCCCCCCCGAGGGGCCACGGGACGGTTTGGTGTCTCCAGTGCTTGCACTCGCTGCCATGCTGAGCGGGTGCTCCCAGGGCTCCCTGCCCGTTCCCAGTGCACGCCAGCTTCCACTGGGGTACTGAGTAATCGCCGGAGCAGCTGTCTCCTGGTAACCTCAGACACCCAGGCAGGCTCCTCCATCTGCTCAGGAAGCTAACGAGTCCAGGCAATTAGCCTCCTCCAGGTGTTTGTCAAAAGCAGTCTGCTCGGAAACCTGAACCTCACCTTCCCCCCGCGCACCCCGTCCCGCTGCTCCCCCCGTGCACCCCGTCCCGCTGCTCCCTCCATGCACCCCGCCCTGCTGCTCCCCCCGTGCACCCCGTGCCACTGCTCCCCCCACGCACCCTGTCCCGCTGCTCCCCCCATGCACCCCATTTCTCCCCC